ATTAATGACAGTTCTGCCAAACTACATAAACTTAAAATATCGAAAAATATACAGCGCGCGAATTTTAAATGAGAATTTCCGAAAACTTTTCAGTCTTAATGTATGTACATATAAATGATAATTTATTAAAAAATTTTTTCAAGGTGTGACACATTAATTTTCTTGAGTGTAAGTATTTGTTGTTTCATCACAATTGTAATATATATTTTGGCCTAAAAATAATGCGTTGACTGTGCCAATAAGACCTGCAAAGCTATTTAAGTTCTTATCTTATCGGTACAAAATGAAATCGTTTGTATGTTTGTAGGTTTAGTTTTTACAATAAGCTTCATACTAACGGTTAGGCAAGTTGACAGGTAAATATGAGTTACTTTCCTGAATCAATAGATAAGATAATGCTTAATAAATGTGTGCACATAAATACGCCAATTAAATATGACTAAGACAACAAAGTCAATAAAAGAATAATTTAGAAAAAAAAATTCATACTAAATAAATATTAAAATATTTCTTGGTATATGCAATTTTACAGGTGTATTGGAAGTATTCAAAAAATGTGTCATTAATTATATAATGAACTAAAAAATATATATAATTTGCTGTCTATACATATAAAATAAAATTTATTATTAACTTAAATTATGTCACACCTAAACAGCAAATAATAATAAATACATTATAATGGTATTAATGGTATGTGTCTCCCTGAAGTACTAAGCCTATGGTTCAGTTATACATAATTTCAATAATATAAATTAATTTATGTAGCATATTCTGTACTTACACCAATTGTAACCGTTATCATTGTAGACGTCATAACCCAATTCTCCCATGTAATCATCGAAGTTTAACATTTTAAGTGCACCGGAACGTTGCTCAAATGTTTGAGACTTTGTGATATTTTTGTAACTTTGCACTAAAAGGTTACTGGCTTTGGCCAAGATTGGCTTAACATTAGCGTTCACTTTGGGTGCAACGGGATTTACTTGTACATTAGCTTTAGCAGTCGATGGCTGCTTCACAATATTCACTTTTTCACTGTTCACTGGCACCACGGGCGCAATTTCCACAAATTCAGCGGCACTTGAGATTTTTTTATTGACATTGTTACTTGAATTTATTAATATAGCATCATTTTCTTGTTCCAAAGATATATTTTCATTTGCTATTACATAGGCTATGAAGCCACATGCCAGTAAACTGGCTAAAAATAATTTAAAACGCATCGTCTAATCGTTTTCTATTCGAATTTTCGTTAAAAATTTTGTTCGTTTTGTGTTGTAACGCTAATATTTTACTAAAAATGCAAGAAATAATAATTTAAATACACATATTAATTTTATATTTATTGAAAAATGTAGTAATTTTCACATTATGACATCATTGTTCTATTAATTTGGCTAATCTTATCAGCCAAATGTTTTTATCACAAAAATTTTAATTTAAAATTCTCTGGTCTTTACCACTTTGGGAAAAATGCGTCCAACACGGCTCTACGGAAAAAATGTTACTAAAGTCGGGGCGTTGGTTGAATTTTTCATTTGGCTCATTTTTCACCTGCTATTGTGAAACTTTATGCTACTTTATCTCAAAAATGTTAACTATCTTATCATTATAAGACTTTTTTTTATAATTGATAAAAAAAATTGTACAGCAAAAAAAGCGGTTTTAGGGCTAAAATATATTTATCGCATAAAAAAGTTAAGAAATATTTTGAAAACAAAGCAATTTTTTTCAATTTAATTCTATACAATTTGTATATATATTCAATGTGATTCACTTAATCATTTGTAGTTGTATCAATTGAGATATATGACGAGATATGAAAACCGTGTTATCACCGGTACATTTGTATTGAATGTTGTATGAATAATGCGACATTCCTAGAACAAATTTCTTTTAATCGTTGTAATTTTTACATCCGCTATTTATTTATAAAACATTAAAGTCATAGTAGTATGAGAATGTGATAAAAACGCAATCATTAGATACTTCATTTCGCAGGATAGTGAAATCCAAAAAAAATAAACAATAATAAAGAAAGAAATTAAATACTAACAAAGCCATTCACTAACCAAAAAAATGTATAGTATAGAATATTTCCAAAAAAAACGAAATGATCTTTTATACTTAAATATTATAAAGAATTTGGAACTCTGATATATTGTGCGAACTTACAGTATTGCAGATTAAACTATAATCAAACTACTTCAATGAAAATACACTCCGAAAAACATAAGTGAACGTACAATTTTTGAATTCCAAATTGAACTGCTTAGACTCAAATATGCTCTTTACGAAAGTCACGGAAGACATCTATCGTTTCATTGCAATCTGTGCAGTTTTAAAGGAAATAAGACTAATGTCTTGCTTTTACTAAGTCATTTTGAATGACAATTATAATTGACTGGTGTGTCGAATGCGTTTTCTTTACATGACAAGAATGCGAATATGATATCATATGACTACATATGACAATATTTGACATTGAAAATGACATAATGATAACGAAGCTTATTGTACTTATTGTAAAAGAAGTGAATCGCAAATAGACTTAAAACTGCAAGCCGCTGGTCCAGAACACTCTCATATCAAGAAAAGCTTACTGGGCTCTGGATAGAGTAGTCGCTGCTAACAGGATAAAAACTTCACACTGAAAACTTCAAACTAAATGACAAAGTTGGCAGTAAAATATTTCTAATACTTAGAAAATAGTTAATCTTAGTATCTCACTTTAACTGCCGTATCTTCTGATATTCATTAGTATTGTCCCTCTCTCTTGTTTAAGAATTTTGGGCTTCTCTTATGAGTTGCTCAGTTTCGCTTTCTGAATGTTGCAAGCATCTTGAATAGGAAACTGCACTGAAAACTCTAATGTCCGATAGAGTTGTTTTTCTTGTACTTCCAGAATACCAAGCTTCTCCCAATATGTTTTATAGGCTTCTGTATTCTGTATACTCATATGGGTACCTAGATACAAATATATATCGGATAACTATAAATCGAGCGAACTTGCCAAAGCAGCTAATTTTTTTCCTTTAAATTGTTATTTCTCTTGCAGTAGCTAAACTGACAATTAAATATAAATACCTGGTCACTGCATATTAAGGACTGCAATAAGACTGACTTAAACATCTAACGGCTTTTATTGGGGTGGTGGTTCTGTGGATAAGAAGAAAACTGTGATTCATTATTCATGCATCAAATTCAAAATCGTTTAGCCCATTTTTTAACTGATCTGATATAGCTTTTATTCTTTCAAGTTACGGATATAGTCAAGTTTATAGAGTTAACAGATTCCATTCTACTAGATTGGGAACTCACATCTTCTCATATGGAAGCTGTTTGTGGACTAGATGTAAGGAAGTTTCATCTTTTGAGTGGTGCTTCAAGTTTGACGTAACTGACAGTATTCATCCCTAATATAAAAACTGATTAATATATGTGCTTAAATGAGATTTACTGTACAAGGCTGTCACTTCAACCTAACATAACCTATGACTGAGAATACTATAAAAACTAAAAGTTATTATTAAAATTTTTGATAAAAGGGACGTTGAAATGTTTGTTCTTGTTATGTTAAGAAATAAACATAACAAAAAAAGGTAAAGTTTAAGAAATCAAAGTCACGAAATCGACAAAATATACCTAAACACCTGTTTTCTAATCTCCTGATAACTTAGTATTGTCCATATAAGGTTGCTTTTTCTATTGAGTTACAAATCTGCATCTACACAGTTGTAGCACTTTGATATGATCTAAAATGATATGAATTTATATATTTATAATATATTTATTAAGAAATATATTAAACTAAATATATAGTATACATACTATATTTATTTTTAGTAAAAATAATTATGTGTTTTGTTTAATAATATTAATACTTATATTTTAAATATTTAAATAAGCACAACGGCGGTATTTACGTCACGGTGCGCAGGGAATATTTTAATAATAGAAAAAACAGAAAAGCATAGCATACCATGGTTCTACGTCTTCATGTGCCAGAAGGAATACGATTTCAACGACTCCAAGAATAACTATTGCTTCTCTTCCAACAGAATTCCTAGTCGAATGACAATGACTGAATAACGTAAATTTATTTTTATTTTTATTTGGTGTATGTAAATTTTACAATATATTTAGTACTAACATATTGTATATTTTTATTTGAACTATTTATTAGAACTAATAACTAATTAGAACTAATTTTATTAGAACTAATAAAGTATAAACAAAAAAAACAACGACGACAACGAAACCGTTCGTTACAACTTCAACCGATAATAAAGGAATCACTGGTATCACAGAACAATTAGACTTCACTCATAAGTCTAAAATGATGTGTCATTTGTATCTACCAAACTCAGTCTAAGGAAATTGAGATCTAAATTTATTGAAATAAGTATTAATAAATTTTTATCAATACATGCTTTTAAGTGATTACTGTAAATACACTATATTAATTTTCCTAATATAAACTTTATGTTGACTTTATAGTAAACTAACTCATTCAGATGGTATAGCTTCAAGCAATATTTCTTAAAAAGTTTATGTTTAAAATATCTTTGAATTTTTATATATAATATTTATAAAGAGGCTTTTCGAAGAGTAGTGAACTACAACAACAAAAATTTATTTTATATTATTTTATTTAATTGAATTTTTTAATTGACCATACAACTGCTTCGAGTATTCCCAAATACCTACCATCAGCGGTCTTGGAGACAATTCTTGTATTTAATTAATCGTAAATAATTTTTTGGAGATTGCAAGCACTATAGGAATCGAGCTTGTGCCCTGCCAAATTTGAAGTTCAGAGTCAGCGCTAACTGATCCAAAGTCAGCGCTAACTGACCCAAAGCCGTACTTGACTTTTTATGTTTAGACATTTTGCTGGAGTTTTGTTAATTGGTTGGGAAAGTTTTATTAACAAATTCACTATGTTTATATTAGAACGAAATCACACACCAGCTGTAGAATAATTGAATTAATTAATTATATTTTTATTTTTAATTGTAAAATTTCAATACTGTTCTGTTCGTAGAGGTCTTATTTATTTTATAGATATTTTTATTTTACTGCTCAAATAAAAATCGCCTAAAATTTTATTATAAACAAAATCTTTGATTTACTAATAGTATTTCTCATAGTATATTTTTGGGTCTATCTGATAAATAAGTGAATGAATAAAAATAAAGAGCACAATCTTCTTGTTTTTGAAAGAGTTTTTATGTGGCTTAACAATTCAGAGCAGAAATAATTCCATAATAAAAGATAGAGAATTCATGCACTTAATTTTAGAAAGAATTTTTTAATACAAATATCAAATATGAGAAGATATTACGAAGCCGCTATAATGATAATGTTCGCTTATGGGGGGCTACAGTATTGTTTCGGCCGTGCTCCCGTTAAGTTTGTTTCGCATATAAGACGCAATAGCCCGTTAATAATATATCTAATATTTAGATTTTAATCAGTTTTTTATTTATTAGATTATCAGAAATAAATATGTTGTTCCATCAATTAAAAAATCCCCACAGCAACGCGATTTTACGTCATTTTCGGCGATGTTATCATAGTAAAAAAGGCGTGTACGGTTATCGACCTTTGCCAAAACGCGAGTTTAGAGGTAAATTGCAAACCAGAAAAAATATATTTCGATCAATTAAATTATGAAAAATGTGTAAAATAAATATAAAATTATTAAATTCTACATAAAAAGTTTAAGTTTTGATACTAAAACTTTGCAGATAAATGAAATCTTTTTCTACTGATAAGTGCAAATAATCTGAGAAAAAAACAAGAAGAAACAATAATAAAAGTTCTAATGCTGTTGTTCTGTGATAAGCAAACTTAATCAGTTTTCGTACGTTTTCGATTGTTTTTGGTTTTGTTTTGATTTTCTCCACAGATACACAACAACAACAATAATACCGGATAAACAATCGTATGTTATGTTATGTTCACTCTCCACTCTCCCAACTTAATCAAAACATTTTGCAAATCTACAAAATTGTGTCTATGTGATTCGTTGTTTTTGTTTTTATTACTTTTTTTCGCAATTTTTATAATTAATGAAAAAAAAATTAAAAGAATTAAATTATTTATTAATTTATTTTGTTAATTGTTTCAAGAAAAAAAATCTTGTAGCAAAAATAATAAATAATTGTTTTCGCTGATATTTATTTAAATAATTTTTGTCTTAAAATTAATAAATTAAATTAACAAAAAATCTAACAATGACAATTTAACCTAAAGCTTTTAATACAAATAAAGTAATCTATTATTATTATAGTAAGGGGATGTGGCACTGCGACCGTCGGGTCTATTGTGCCATCTTCTAGGTTTAGAATAGGTCTCTAAACACTGTTGCGTCAATAAAAAGTAGTATAAAATCTACTTTACAGAGTTTTATTGCCTCTTCCGTAAAAATATACACTCCCAGGAGCCTATTTCATATGTGAATTAGCGCAGGGTATCCTACAGCACAT